CAGAGTGTATGTGTTTGAAGCAATCAGTTGATGTGACGGGTTGTGGCTGAGAGGAAGGGAATGGCTAGGCCTCAGAGGTCCTCCTTCTGATCTCACCTATAAGATCTGCTCTGGAAATATCAACCTGTGAACAGAAAACAGAGGAGACAGTGGGGTTAGTAAACTCAAAAGGGCTTCTCACACTGCGCTTAGAGCTAAAAGCCTTCTTCTTCTAAACCTTATAAGCTCAGGCTAACTTATATGAGACACTTTCTGCCCACACTGAATCCATTAATATGCTTGTCTGTTGTTATGTAATATTTAAAGGTTTCCTTGCTGGTAATAGGGATGGCACACTACCAGACATTTAGCAGTCCATACCATGTAGCCTTTAAGTAATAAATGAAAGGAAACAACTCAAAATACTAAAAATGCTTTTCACTCTAGTTCATCGTTTGGACTATCTGCCGTGAGTCTCGTTTTTTTTACCTCACATTGTATTGTGGTTGAAAAGTTATCGATAAAATTACTGACTTGAACTTATCTATCATCTATCCGAGTACAGTGAGAGACCACAAACTGCCACAGAAAAGGAACCCAGTGAAGAAACGTGGACTCAAACGGACAGAATTGGGCAATTTCACTCAACGTTTAGATTCATCTGCCTCAATACAGGATACAAGCAAACCGAGTTGTCTCAAGACCAACTCAACCTAAATTGGGTCACATCCATTTATACCTTTGTACTGACAGTGATTCTCCTGACTAGACGATATTCGGCAGTTACAGTATCATGACTGCATGTTTGGACATGTGTCAGAGCCCACAACATTCCTATGTTAAACAAGAGTCCAGTATCTGTTGTCCTGGAACGTTCTTCTCAGGTCATCCTCCCCTGGACTTCTCATTACACCCACACTTGAATCTCCTTCTTTCGTCATCAGTTATGAAGTGAAAACATCAGAAGGAGCAGCAGACTGGAGTCACAACGCCCTCTATCGCAGTTATAGTTTTGTGGCATTAGTGGCATCTTCCAATGGACATTTAATCCAGTACCAGTATAAGTACAGTGTGAATCGTATAGCCCTGGGCTAAGATTAATCCTGGGTTAAAAGTGGGTGTGTAGAAAAGGGCTAAATTATTCCAGGGTCAACTTTTAGCCCAGGACCATCCTTAGAATGTGCAGTGTGAAAAGCCTGAAGCAATGTGTTCACAGCCCTTTTTAGAAAGCTTTGGAGATCTATGTCAAGGCTTGGAGAAAATCCGCTACTACAATAGAGCACATTTTCTGTAGTGTCAGTTCAGAAGCCAGAGGGGAACATTTAGTCTGTGTGACTTTGATACTTGCCATGAACTTGTTTTTATTATTATTACTTTTATGTTTTGCATTGTTCCGTTTTTATGACGTAAACTCTGCACACTTGTAGAAGAAGGTTACTGTTCCTCTGTGCTTTTAATAAAAAAACTGCTCTTTTTGGATCTGTGTCTATGCATGTGCCAGCAGGGATACAGTGTGTGTATTGTGGATCAATTGTACCTCCTCTCTGGTGGCCACCACACGGAGTTTGACCACTCCATCTTTTAGCTCCTGTTCTCCCAGTATGGCCACCAGGGGGATCCCAGACTCCTCACAGTGCTGCAGCTGACTCAGCAGTTTGGGGTTCTTCTTGTACATCACCTCTGCCTGGACACACAAGATAAAATAAGGAGCGGTTTCATTTCATCATCATCGTTAGAAATCATTCTATTAGACAAAGGACATACATAACTAATAGCCTAACCAATAGGTGTGTGAAGGTTAACAGATACAGAAACAGAGATAGGAATACCAGGGCTCCAGACTAACTTGTTGCATTGGTTGCACTGGTGCACCTAATTTTTTTTTAGGTGCACCAGCACAATATTTTGGTGCACCCAAATTTTTCATTGCGTTGCCTTTAACGCCGTAAGGTCACCTTTTTATCGCTCTCCATAACTTTCATATAATGTGAATGATTTTTAAACAAGAATAAGGTGTAGAGAAATGCTTGTCTTTATTTGAAGCACAATTATATATAAAAAGAAAAATAAAGTGCTGCACTGAGCTGAAATTGAAACGAAATTTCAAACTAAAACACTAAGCAAAATAAAACATTTCCAAATAAAAATTTGATACGAAATGTTGTTGACCCGCTCACGAATGCACTATTTCCGGTTATATTCTGACCGTACCCCTGACAGTACACGCAGTGCATTGCGTTACGTCCTTTGTTGTACCTCAGCCAGGGAAATAGTTTCAGCCAGTCCTGTCTGAAGGAATATATTTTGACCTTTTTAATTTGGGTCTCGGAGCCGGGCTCTATCCCAGACTCGGTTATCTCCTCCTCTGGTTCCGAGTCTGATGCTGTCGCCGAAGGACCGGGGCTCGGCAATTGTTGAACACACACAATTTAGCGCGGTGAACAGGACCACAGCCAATCAGAGGCAAAGACCCGCCCGAGCTCTGTCTCTTATTGGTTTAGAACACGATATGATCCTACCATGAGTGTGAGAGTTCGGTCACAGGAGAACACAGAGAGATGATGCGCTTGCGAAATAAATTTATGTTTTCACCCGGGCAGCGTCAGGTGCACCAGTGCGACCTAGAAAAATTATTAGTCGCACTCTGGAGCCCTGAATACATTGATACACAATCACAGATCCAAACCACACTCAATTTGAAATTTGTAAAATAAATAAAAATATGGCTGTTCTTTCCAAGTAACTTGCGCTCTCCCAAATCACATACCTTCTTCAACCCATCCACTGCAAAGAGTAATGTCAGGTTCCCTGCTCATTTAAGAACAGGGTTCCTAAACATTTTCTCTCATTTTTGCTCTCACACAATGGTTAACATTTTGGCTTCAAACTCCATAAAAAACACTCTGCTTGTATGATCAATTCATTTTGAAAAAAAAAAAAAAATGGTAAAACTGAGATTACCAAATTGATGAAAATCTGCATTTGTGTGTAGAAAATGTCACTACACACCCTCCACTGTTCTAAGTCACCCTGAAGCTTACAAGTCCAATGCTGAGATAGAGTATAAGAAAGATTAGGATGACACAGATGTTTCAGGTAAGACGTCCACGCTGAGGAAGGGCCAATATTAAAAAGTCAAATTGGAGTACTGTCCCAGACTTTAATATTTCAGAACATAATGGTGGCAATATTCTGGAATATTTTTCCATACTTTTTTTCCTAGACCTGGAAATGACTAGAATCAAATTCCATACCTTTCCATTCTACATAGGAGCTGACAACAGCAACAGGAAGTCAAAGACATCCTTGTGTCCCTATATCTGTGGGGACACGACATAATGCATTCCAGAGCCCCTTACCCTAACCACCACAACTAACCTAATTCTGACAGTAATCCTCAAACAGCCCTTTGTGCTGGACTCCACAAGCTCAGAGGGCTCCACAAATATAGTAAAACAAGCCCACACACAAACAGACAGAGACAGACACAGACACAGACAGACACACACCTTAATGCCAGCATTCCAGAGCTCAGTGATGAGTTTGAGTTTCTCCTCCAGCAGGTTCTTCTGAGCAGACGCCACCATGACCTGAACCTCTGTGGTACGAACCTTCTCTGCTGAGGCCTGAACAACACAACACTGTTACAGCCTGGACATCTACACATTCTTATTATTCAGCCAATATGCCTATATAACACAATTAAACATAAGTGAATAATTGGCAGACAAATACTGACGGATTACCTCGGCTTTCTGCTCCATGATGGAGAAGACCCTCTCGATGCCAATGCTGACGCCCACACACGGCACTTTCCTGCCCTTGGGGTCAAACATGCCCACCAGGCCGTCATATCGCCCGCCACCAGCCACGCTGCCCACACTGACGCTCTCCTCCGAAGGTGCCCCGTTTTGGGCATCTGTGGTTACCGGGGCCACGCCTGCCTGAGTCAGCACCGCCTCGTAAATGATTCCTGTGTAGTAGTCCAGACCCCGGGCCAGACTGAGGTCAAACACGACCTGGAGATGACGGAGTGAGAGAAGTGTGCCAGAGAAGAACAAACAGTTACAGTAAGATAGTAAAGAGAGAAGAAAAACAATAAACAAGAAAAAGTAAAGCTATGATTAAACAAAAAAAGTGTAACTGTGCGTGTATGTGTAGAAAAATATGAGTAAATCATTTTTGTAAAAGAAATATTATGGGATGAGTAAATAACAACATGCCACACCTTGTCTGTGACCTGGAAGAGCTGCAGGTAACTGAAGAGCAGCTTTATGTCAGACAGGCCGGCACAGGCCTGCTTACTCTGAGACATTTTCTGGTCCTGAAGGAGGCGCTCTGCTAAGTCCATTCCACCTACAACAGAAACAGTAGCAATCCGCATTCATTTGGAGTTGATGAATGGAAGTCCAATATTCACTTTTTTTCTAGCTCTGTTTTTGGTCTCCACCAACCTCTTCAGGCGCTAAATGCTCCATGTTCACCAGCTAGTCTCTATATCTAGGATATAGTTTGGCAGTCCCCAAAAAACGCGACATGCGATCGCATAATTCAATGCATAATCAGTCAAAGTCCACAAATTTATGAGGGGGCCGCACTTTTTCAAATACGGCGCACTTTCGCCGCATAAATTGCCAATTTCAGTGCAAATACACGGGGCTTGCATGATTTCATAATCTCCGCATTTTCGTTGCAAAAAAGTATATCTTAGCAGAAAGTTGAAAAATGTTACGTTTACTTCACACAAGAGCAGCCATTTTCCCATGGGAACGTTATGAAGTGACGTAATTACGCAATGTGAACATCATCGAAAAGCTGCAAACCCCGTGATGAAGCCGCAGTTTTTGCAAGTTCCCGCAATTTCATCACATAAAATTGCATAAATATCCCGCATATTCCATCAAATTTTTTAAGAAAACGTGCCGCATAATCAAGGATTTTTGCCCGCAACAATCACAAAAAAACTCTGCATTTTTCTGGAAGGACTGGTTTGGTATAGTTTGTTAGGATACAGTGACAAAACGTCAAGGCCAGTGTTGTAGGGGATAGGAGTGTACAAACTCTAAATCAAATTATTATTATGGATTCATTAACATGGAAGCAGCATTTTAATGTTGTAGCTAAGTGAGATGTCTATTTTCATCTGCAGCAATGCATCAAATATAAATATAAACTGATCGAGGCTTTGTATATATAATCTTAAATCTCCAAAATAACTATAGCTGTCAGATAAATGTGGTGGAGTAAAAAGAACAGTATGTCCCTCTGTAATCTATTACAGTAGATGAATAAAGTAGGTAAAATAGTAGGTAAAGCTGTACTAGTGCTGTAAAGTGCTACTTTCCACCACTCATCAGCAGACAGTTTCTGTCAGCCTGCTGTGGGGACAGTCTGTTCTGAGGGCATTGATGTTGTTAACGGAGGCTGGAGTTGGTGTGGGCTGAACATAGAAGGCTCAGCTCGCACCAACTTGATGTCTCACATATTGTGTGAATTTGGGGAAGGTCTCACCCTGCATACTGACGTATTCCCCAATCTGGTCGGCAGCCTCCTCTGACAAGCCCTTCTCATTCACCATCTCCTTCTTCACCTCCTCCCAGGGCAACTAGGTTTGGACAGTAGGGCCAGAGGCAGGTATTGATGAATGATGGAGAGAAGGTGAAAGAGAACAGAGGAATGTGGAAAGGGGTCAGCATCAGACTAACCACAACCATTGTCTTTGACGGTTTATGCCGAGTACACACCACATTATTTTAGTCCTGATTTTTCCACCCCACGACATTTGTGGACGGTTCAAAGATGCGATCCCAGAACACACCGATGCCTCACAGACAGCCGAAAAATATCTAGGACTGTAGATATTTATCTGGTTCTGTCGGGGGGCCATGCAACGAGCTACAGCCAGTGAGAGCTAATATGTTTAATGTTTAATGTTTTGTTGCCACTGCAGAAACACTAGGTACCTGCTACACTATGATAAGGTTGTCTGACATTGACTGCTGTTATTAGTTTGATTCATGCTTTAATAATGTGTCAGGCTAATTATTAGAAGTTTCTAAAGGCAGTATGCTGTAAATGGTTGCCCTGTGTGTGCGTGAGCTACTTTCCTAATTGAACATGACGTGCTTGTTATAATTGGTGTTATTAATGAGCAGTTAGACTCCGGGATTACTACGTCAAAGATCTTATAGTGTGTGACCCCCTGATGCTGACAGTCATATAGTGTGCAAACCACAACTTCCAAGACTCCACAGCGAGCTTACAAGACAGAAGTTGTGTAGATAAACAGGACAGTATTCTGACAACTGAGAACCAATATTTGATTTTCAAGGAACCATCAACCATACGCTGAAAAGCTCTGTATGTACACTGTACTAAGTCTCTATACCTTGTCCAGTTTGTCCACTGTTGAACAGATGGTGCGGAACTTGTCATCGGGAACACCACACACAGCGAACATGCCATCGAGGATGCGTCTGTCGTTGACCTGGAAATGGAGGACATGGTTATAGAGGTGACATCCGCCGATCAAAGTCTGCCAGTTTCATCTGTACGTTAATAAGTGTGACAAACTTTGATACGGAAGTCTCCGAGGTCCAGCTCACTGAGGATTTCATGGACGATCTTCAGACACTCGGCATCTGGAATCATGGCGTCATATTGCCCTGCTATGTCGAAATCCTGAAACACCCACATACACACACACACACACTGAAATCTGCATTTGTTCGAAATCTGCATTTGTTCTCCCACTATTAAAAAGTGGAGACCCGTTGGCCTTAGACAATTACCGGCCAATCTCCAGACTATCTGTCTTGGCTAAACTGTTTGAATTTCTTATAAATGAGCAACTAAAACATTTTTTAGCTGACAACTGTATTTTAAGTTCTACTCAGTCTGGTTTCCGACAAGGACACAGTACAATTACGGCTGTAACCTCTGTTGCAAATGATATTGTTAATGCTTTAGATAACAAAAAGCATAGGTTTTAGTAGCACTGTGCTAAATTGGTTTTCTAATTACCTGAGTGATAGAACTCAGTGTGTGGCATTAGATAACTGTACCTCATCCTTGCTAGAAGTAAAAATGGGTGTCCCCCAAGGATCAGTTTTGGGTCCTATTTTATTTTCTATTTATACAAATTATTTAGGTGTGAATCTGAATCAAACAAAGGCTCATCTTTATGCAGATGATACTATCTTGTACACTTCTGCTAAGTCATTGAAAGAAGCAATTCATCCTTTACAGTCTGCCTTTAGTCAGGTACAAAAATCTCTGGTAGGATTAAAATTGGTATTAAATGCTAAAAAAACAAAATCAATGTTTTTTACACATTCACATTCTTCTATAGATTTCACTATTTCAACACAAAATGGTACTCCAATAGAGAGAGTAACTTCCTACAAATACCTAGGTATTTGGTTGGGTGAGAAATTGTCTTTTGGGGTCCATATTGAGAGCCTTTTAAAAAAACTCAGACCCAAGTTTTTATTTTAGATTAAAGAAGTGCTTTCCTTATTC